TGAGCTAAGTATTCTGGGGAGCGGGAAAGTGAGTTGACCAGGGAATCATACTAGAATGGTCATGCTCTGCTCTGGGCACAGGTGCGGCTGGGTGACATGAATTCACAGCAGGCCCCATAGTATTCGAGGTGAGAAAGGAGAGTTTGGCTCAACCAGGGTTTGGGGTTTACCAGCACTGGAGGGCAGGGGAGATAAGTCACTGCCAGAGAAGGGCAGAATGGCCGGCCATGAACGCTAAGCTCAATTGAGAGGTAACAGCCTAGAGCAGCGGTCGCCAAGCGGTGGTCCGCGGACCGCAGGTGGTCCTTGAGGTCCGAAAGGTTGGCGCCCGCTGGCCTAGAGGACGTGTCTGAAGGGTAGAGAAAACCAGGGAGGACCTGAGCGAAAATGTGCTGGGGGCGTAACAGGAATAACTGACTAAGCAAGCTGAAAAGAAGAGTGTGAAAAAGCTTCGATGAACCGCATCTGCGTGGCCAGCACATCCGGTCTTCACAGCTTGGCCCAGCCCAGAGCGTCGGTTCAGGGGGCCCAGAGCGGCCCCAGCCCACAGACCATGCTGCCCTGCAGGTCGGGCTGAAAACCACTGCCTTAAATTCTCTGCAGTTCAAACCTGAACTCCCCCTCAATGTTTAGGTGTCAGCAGACACAGAGGGCGCCGGAAACCGAGGCAGAGAAGAGCTAAATTATAAAAACTATCCAACTGAGAGTCAAGGAAAGTCATGCTCTAGTCCTACTATTTCTCTGTCCTTTTCTTTGCGTCTGAGCTATTTTATAGCTAATTTACTTTTTTTAAGTATGCAAAATACATTTCCGATAAATATTAAGTAAACCAATATTATTAATAAATATTAAATAGCCGAAACCGGTTTGGCTCAGTGGATGGAGCATCGGCCTGCGGACTGAAGGGTCCCGGGTTCGAGTCCGGTCAAGGGCACGTGCCTGGGTTGCGGGCACATCCCCAGTGGGAGATGTGCAGGAGGCAGCTGATCGATGTTTCTCTCTCATCGATGCTTCTGACTCTCTATCTCTCTCCCTTCCTCTCTGTAAAAAATCAATAAAATATATATTTTTTTTTTAAAAAATAAATATTAAATAAACCTAACCCGAATGTGCTACAGAAAACCTCTTTTTGTGTTTTTTCTGTTTTTTTGGTTAATCCTCACTTAAGGATATTTTTCCCATTGATTTTTAGAGAGAGCAGAAAGGAGGGAGGGTGGGAGAGAGAAAGAGAGAGAAACATGAATTCAAGAGAGACACATCAGTTGATTGTTTCCCACATGCACCCTGAGGGGATCAAACCTGCAACCCAGGCACGCCCTTGACCCCTTGACTGGGAATCAAACAAGACCATTTGGTACTCAGGCAGACACTCTAACCCAGCAGTTCTCAACCTGTGGGTCGCGACCCCTTTGGAGCTCGAACGACCCTTTCACAGGGGTCGCCTAAGACCATCGGAAAACACAGATATCATTACATATTGTTTTTGTGATTAATCACTATGCTTTAATTATGTTCAATTTGTAACAAGGAAAATACATCCTGCATATCAGATATTTACATTACGATTCGTATAACAGTAGCAAAATTACAGTTATGAAGTAGCAACAAAAATTATTTTATGGTTGGGGGTCACCACAACATGAGGAACTCTATTAAAGGGTCGCAGCATTAGGAAGGTTGAGAACCACTGCTCTAACCACTGAGCACACGGGCCAGGGCCAGAAAAGTATTTTATTTCCCTCTCATAATTTAATAACACTGTAGATTCTCTTACTAAAGAGCAGTCAACATGAGAACAATTATTTCTAATTCAACAGTGCTATATGTGTGGTCAATCGCAGCTGAGAGCGGAAGAAATAAAGGTGGGTGTCTTTAAATTCACAAATTTCACCAAGGACTGCCTCCAAGCCTTTAATGCTTAAGTATGCATTTATCTACTTATTCGTATTTAATCTACCGCCACCCACATATACCACATGCCAGACACTGCTCTAAGGGCTTTCCTAATATCACATATCATTTCATCTTGACGGTCATCCCCACTTTACAGACCAGAAAGCTGAGAACACAGACTGGTTGAGTAACTTGCCCGAGGCTTTACACGACTTGTCAACGGCAGGGCTCGGATCAGTGTGGCATTCTGGCTCCAGCGTCCAGCTTCACTAAGCTTGTCTCCAAGAACCCACAAAAAGCGCAATCCTTAACCCCAACTTCTGTTCCCCCCACCCTACAAGCCCTCCATGGCCCCAGCAGCCAGGGCATTGGTTCCGTTCCTCCAACAGTCCACACTGGACTTGCTCTGCCTGAACAGTCTCCGACACTGCTTTTTAAGCCTTTGGTTCTCAGTTTAAACATCACTGCCTAAACTACAGAGCCTAATCTCAGCACTCCACACAAAACTGCAGTTACGTATTTTATGGGTAATTATTTGCCTCCTGTCTCTTTTCCAACTAGGCTGTACGTCAGGCGCCGTGTCAGTCTCGTTCATTATGTGGTCCCCAGCACTGAACCCCCACCACCGAGCACAATGAAGGGCCTGGAGCAAAGTAAGCTCTCAATTTTTGTTGAATGAATAAATGGAGTACATTCAAGTCTCATGCTTTCTTCTCCGTGCTTGCAGGTGCGTGATGTCTGCCAGTGCTCACAAGCGCCCCCCCTCCATCCCCGCCAACTACACCCCTAATAGTGTGGACTCCTGTAGCACACAGGCGAGAACGCTAGAAAATACTGGCTCTGCACACCAATATGATGTGGTCGTGGTCACGTCATGTCCCCCCTCCACGCTGTACTCTAGGCACGACCCCGGGCTTGCACCGTGCCTGGCACACAGCAGAAGGTACATCATTGTGCTTCATAAATGAACCCCTGCCCTGTGAAATTCACAGGGAAGAAGCCAGGGTCTCGGGAGCAGGCGGGCGCCTGGTGGCGTGCAAGCGCGTTCCACCGACACAGGCCCGCCTCCCACCCGGGCCCAGCACCCGGAGCTGCCGGCCCCTAACCCGCGCCCCGCAGGCACCTCTTGCAGATAGAAGCATCCTCGCAGGTGCCTTGCACGCCTTCGTCGTCAGCTTCGGTCGAGGAAGGACCGGAGTTGAAAGTGGTCGACCTCAGGTTAGTGGCCATGGGGGTGGAGGTTCCGGGGTGCTGTGCCCACCAGGGACATGAAAGCGGGGTCGACCGCAGCCGGGGGAATTAGCGAACCTCCAGGAAGGCAGGAGAGAGGGGCTGGGCTCCGCCCGCTCAGCTGGCGCGGCTCGGAGAGGCCGCCCACGACCACTGTCCCAGCAACCTTCGCGCTTATTGGAGCCACTGACAGGACGCTCATTGAGTAATTTCCCAGCCTCTCAGCCTGCGGAGGTGCTCATTGGACAACTTCTTTAGCCCCGCCCACAAAACCCGGAAGTTTGCCAGGGAGGGGGAAGTAAAGTGAATTTGACACAACTATGGCACCGCAATACTTTCTGGGAATTGTAGTCGTAGGTGAGTTGGGAGGCCACTGAGATTCTTATTGCTGGCCACGTAATTTTATACCTGTAATTAACTCAGGTCAGGACCCTAGCACTGGGGCGAAGGGCAGGGAAACCAGCCGAAGGAAACAAGTGTCATTGTGACAGTCGGTCGAGGCTCAGTCTCATTTAACAATTGATCCAATATTTATTGTGTTCCCTCTGAGCCAGGAGCTGGGCTCAGCACGCATAATGGTCTTTGAGATGTCGTGAAGGAAGGAATGTGTGGCCCAGCCTGCGTGGCTCAGTGGTTGAGCATCGACGTATGAATGAGAAGGTCACGGTTCCATTCCCGGTCAGGGCACATGCCCCTGTTGTGGGCTCGATTGCCAGTGTGGGGCGTGCAGGAGGCAGCCCATCAATGGTTCTCTCTCATCATTGATGTTTCCATCCCTCTCTCCCTCTCCCTTCCTCTCTGATATCAATAAAAATATCTTACAAAAAACATTACCCAAGTTTAATGATGAGACAAACATCAGATAGATCCCAGATGATAGACACTCTATAAAATTCATGACCAATAATCTTTGAAACTATCAAGGTAATAAAAAAAAATGAGGAAAATCTGAAAAACTGTCACAGCCAAGAGGAGCCTAAGGACACATGACAACTAAATGTAATAAGGCATCCAGGGTGGGATCCTGCAGCAGAAAAGTGACATTAGGGGAAAATCAAGGAACTCTGAAGTATGGACGTGAGTCAATTATAATGTATCAGTATTGGTTTCCTAATTATGGTGAATGTATCAGACTAATGTAAGATGCTAATTATAGAGGAAACTGGGTGTGGGGTATTTGGGAACCCCCACTATTATCTTTGCGACGATTCTGTGAATCTAAAGTTGTAAAATAAAACTTTTTACTTTAAAAAAAAAACAACAAAGGAAGGAATGTGTGGAAAACTAATATAATTGAAAACTATGTAGCAATGAAAATGAGTGAACTAGAGCTGCCAGTTGCAAGCATCCACTGAATTTCAGAAACATAATATTGACTGAAAGAAGGAAATATAACATCTTTGTAAAGTTCAAAGCAAGCAAAATTAATGTTGTTTAGAGAAGCATATCTAGATGGTAAAAAATACTATACAGGAAGGTAAAGAAATGGGGGGGGGCAGGAATCAGGGTGTTTTGTTTGTTTTTGTTAATCCTCACCCAAGAATACAGGAATCGGGGTGTTTTGTTTGTTTTTGTTAATCCTCCCCAAGAATATTTTTTTCACTGACTTTTAGAGAGAGTGAAAGGGAGGGGGAGAGACTGAAAGCAACATCGAGGTGAGAGAGACACATTGATTGGTTGCCTCCTGCATGCTCTCCATCCAGGGCCAGGGAACCTGCAACCCAGGTTTGTGTCCTTGACCAGAATCAAACCGCTTCAGTCCGCTTATGCTCTATTCACTGAGCCAAACTGGCGAGGGCTACACCATTTTCTGTTAGTGGTCCTCTGCCAAGAGGGTAATGCAAAGCACTGAACAAACACGGCCTCCTAGATCGGCCGTGTACACACTCCCTGGATGTAACAAGTGTCAACAGCAAGTAGAATAAGCTATGGATACCATAGGTGTGGGTGGTGAGCATGAGGGTGACTAGAAGAAGGTGGTAGATACTCTGATATGCTTCTGTTCTTTGCTGAGCCTTCGATTTAGAAAAAGATGATGATTCAGAAGACTTTGGTCCGTGTTTCACTGAGGGCCACCACCAAAGGCTTCCCGCAGGCAGAGCCAGCTCATTCCATTTAAGCTCCTGGTCAAAGGGTTAGGACTTTATGACACAGGAATGGAGGCTGGAAATAGCAAGCTGAGAGATCTCAGGCTGATAAGTGATCTTAGTCTCCAGATGTGAGGCTACTGAGTAGTTGTGAAAGATGTCCCAGCCGGAGAAAGGTCACTAATCAGCATCCAGTCAAGAGAAACTGGAGTTTAAAACCTACATAAAACTTAATATCAGGAGCAAAAAGTTGGGCATTAACCATGAAACTTCTCCCCCAGAGGTTGGAGTGGACATTGTTGCTTTGGCTCTCTTGTGTTTTTTTCTTCTATAACAGCTGGAGTTTATTATGGAAAACTACACTCCCCTTTCAGCCCACGTGGATCAGGTGAGGTGCCCTGCCTAAGGAGTGGGACTTACCAAGACTGGCCAATCACACACAAAATCACCCTAGGGCAGTGGTTGGCAAACCGCGGCTGGGCTCGAGAGCCACATGCGGCTCTTTGGCCCCTTGAGTGTGGCTCTTCCACAAAATACCACGTGTGGGCGCGCACGTACAGTGCGATTGAAACTTCGTGGCCCATGCGCAGAAGTTGGTTTTCAGCCTGGGCCAGTCATTGTCATGATTTAATTTTATGGATACTTTAAGGTAAATTGTAAGGAATTTAATTTTATCAATAAATAATATCATTATTAAGCA